CACCTTTCCTACTACCTACTCCTATTTGGTATTTCTCCTCTTCTCTCCTATTCTTGTACCTCAAGCAAGATCAGCTCCAAAATCTATCCATCCCCTCAGGGCTGCCTTAATGTATGGGCCTGATAGGCACTTGCCTGTGGGCCCCATGAGCATAGGGGCATCATATTAATCTTATTAATGTTAACCCTTTAATGCACCTTGTATCATATAAATACAGCAACGTATTTATTATATATTTATTTATTGGAAGTACCAATAAAATAAATGTTTAATTTTATCGACCATTTACATTTTTATTCCTGTGAGTAGTCGTTGTAGGGGCCCCAGTGCAATGCTATTTTAAGATGGGCCTGCATCCCCTTCTAGTATATTTCAGTTGGAAACATTTGTTTGTATCACCTTCCAGTTCAGTCTGGACTCCTGTTGTCAGTAGTCACAATTAATATCAAGGCACAGGAGCTGCCTCAGAAGCAAAGCTATTATCACCCCATCAATCAATTGAGAATGAGAGTTATTTATACAGCTCTGCAAAGTTTGTTTGCATTTCATTGTACTGGACCATTATTCAACTTTCAGCATCTTTCATTACTTTACTGATTGTTGGAATTTCAAACAGGCATGCTTTTGAAAAAAAAAATGAGAAAGAATTATGGCCAAAACAAAATATTTCAGATCCAGAAATAAAAATCTTCATTATAGAGAATGTTCATTATTTGTTGGTGTTCATACAAGGACGTCAGAGACAGATACAAAAGTTTTATATTATCTTTAAAACAAGAAAGCTTTTTTTTAAAAAGAAAAAGATTGTGAGACTTTTAAGTACTGAGACTTTAGAGAAAAGACACTGAATTATCATATGAATTCCCAATTCCTAACCAAGCCCTGTTCCAATCCCAAACTGAGCCCTGTTAAGAACCTGTTTCTGCTGGGTTCTAGATCTGCTTCAGAACTGTGCCAGTAGTGAAGTCTAGCACAACCTGTGCATGAGCTTAAAGGCCAAGATACTCTCAAATCAACCCCAGCCTTGATGACCAGGGAAGATTTTCCTTGGTATAGTATGAAAATATTGCCGCTACCTTTTGCTGGTGGTAGTTGTTATTGTTACTTCCTACTCTACTGTTGTTTACAGGAGCAATGTAGAGTAAGAAATGGCGGGGGGGGGGGGGAAGAAACCTGCAAACTACACAACATGTAGGAGACTCCAAGTTGCAGGTCATCTTCTCTGCATAGAGAACAACCGAATCCCCAAGATGGCAATGAGATGGGCCCCAACTGATGCCAAGCAACCAAGAGGACGCCCTTGAAATGCATGGTGAAGAACATTCATGGAAGACTTAAAGACTCTAAACATCACACGGGAAGATGCTGAAGTACTAGTCCAAGCCCCAAAATGCTGGAGATCCTTTACTGCCCAATATGCTACTTAATATGGGGGAGGTTCTAATGCTAAGATGCTCTACACTGTTAGTAATCATTGGTAATCTCTCATCCCAGATACAAAGCATCTTAGTTTCATTGAAATCAGCCAAAGTTGACTAGGACCTAATGAAGGAGGATAGTTTTAGCTCAGGGTTAACATGAAGGGGTCCTTGGTGCTCTCTGAGTTTGCTTGTTTTCTTGCAAACATTTCATTACCCAAACTGGGTAACATTATCAGCACTAGGTAGTCCTGGTGACGTTACCTAGTTTGGGTAACGAAATAATCTACAAGAAAACAAGTAAGCTCAGAGAGCACTAAGGAGCCCTCAACTGGAACCATTCCTGGTGTGAGGCAGATATCTGTCGAGGCTATTTTAAAAGGTTCCTGTCAGAAGCCTTGAGACTTCCACCATGAGACAAACGGGATGCCTTTCTAACATTAATTGTGAGATTTTTAAGTAGTGAGAGATATTTGGGTGCCCCATGGTATCACATACCGTATGCCTGAAAGAGAGAAGTTCAGATTCAATGCTCTCTGTGATATACAACCCCAAAATGTCCACCGAACTTCACAATTCTTATTATCCTTCTTTAGCTCCAAATTTTGAAGCAGACAACCTTCCATGCCTGTAACGAGGCACCAAGAGAAAAATCCCACCTCCCACAAATCCTCTCCTTGCTTCCTCCTCCAAGCATGAAATAAGCAGGAAGATAATTTATGTGAGCTATGTAACAAGAAGTCTCAGTAAGGCATAGAAGGGAGACAGATGGATCTTCCCCTTCCCCTTAGAAGGAATGGGAGGGAATTGAGTCTTATATATGGACCTCAAAAGAACAATAAAGTGAAATTGCGGCACTTAAAAACCTAAGAAAAAGAACCCAAAATAAAAAATGAACAATACAAACAAGATTGTTTAGCATGTTTATTGGCCACAGGAGGTAACTTCTCATCTACACTTGACTAGCTTTCTGTGGAGCACAAAAGAACCATGTCTACTTCACCCCTCTCCAGGACCATTGCTACAGAACTGTAGAGAGCTTTATAAGATACCCCGGAGAAGAAGGTCAAGAGCTATTCAAGGTAAATGAAGGTATTTCGTGGCTGTGTTGCCTCACTTCATTCCAGGACCTTTTAGATAGAAAATCCAGACCTTCTGACTTTTTTTCTGGGGGTGCGGGGAGAGTGGAAAATGCCAGAAGATTGCAACATTATCATTTGTTGTACTTTCCTACAAGAGTAGAATCACTTGTTGACTTTTAGATAATTCTACAATTATAGAAATCTACATATGGATGCCATGCAAGACATGTTTTCTAGTATGAAACATGCCAAGTTTTTTTTTTAAGGGCGCCAGAAATTCTGATTTTTGTTTTTCTTTTCTTACAGCCAACCAAACTGTCTTTGAAGGATCTGGGCTTGGGGGAGACATATCTTCAGACGCCAAGCCAGCAATGCTGGGATAAGGAACCTAGATAAAAGAACTGGTTAGGGAATGTGCGGGCTTGATCTCTGAAGCCCTCTTTCATGGAGCAAAGAGGAGAAAGGAAGCATGAATGAACACTCCACATTTATATCCAGCGCAATATATTATCCCCTTTGGGAACAAGAAACATTAAATCAATTGCAGAAAGAGAGTGGAAAAGTGGCTCGAAAATGAAGACCCCCAAGAAGATATAGGAGGAAAGAAAAAGAGACAGCTAAATCTAGTTTAGATCAAGATCCCTTCCTTCTATCTTTCCATAACTTTCTGTCCTTGCAAATTATCTTTGCTTTCACCACGTTCCTAGAACAATTCATGTCTTATTGTTCTTTTCACTGCTTGTATATAGAGATTCTCAGTCATCCATGGTGGTCCTGAAGATGCTTTCTTTCAAAAGACACCCGGACTTTCTTGTTTTGCTCAAAGATGTTTCACTTCTCATCCAAGAAGCTTCTTCAGTTCTGACTGTATGGTGGAGAATGGAAGGATTTATATTCTTTATACATTTATAGTGCTAATGATATGATGACTGCAGGGAATATAAATCAGAATTAAAGAGGATTCTTGGAGAAGAAGTGAAATGCCTTGAAGAAAAACCAAGAAAGTCCAGCTGTTTTGGGGGAAGAAAGCACCTTTGGGATTTCTCACTGCTTGGTGGTCTGCCCCAGAAAAACCATGCTGGGAACCCAATTCCCTCCTGCAATTTTGCATTCATGCTGATTAACTTTTCTTTGACATAAGGAAGCACTAATGGCAGATAAGGGAGGTACAATAAGCTATTGGACAAGTCTCTGGGGCTTTAGAAATCACCCTGAGAAGTGACAATAAGGAGAACATTGCACAAAGTCATCTCCGAACAGTGCAGACATTTTTCCAAAGGTGCTTTTCAAAAGGAAACTGGACTTCCTTGGGTTTTTTTTTTTCCTTGAAGATGTTTTGCTTCTCATCCAAGAAACTTCAGAAACTTTGAGACAACCATGATTGAGAATCTCCAAGGTGAAGAAAACTGTTAAGTTTGGGTAATGAGAGGCTGAACCAGGGCATGGGTGCAACAAATACTTTATTAAGATAATAAAGGACTGAACGTGCTAGCCAAGCCTGGAACTGGCTCGCAGCGATCAGCAACTGGTTGGACCCCGCAGCCTGCTTTTATAGCTGGCTGCTGGGGAGAACCAACCAATGAGCGAGGGGGCAGCCGCCCCCGCAGCGCGAACGGACCTGAGTGGGAACTCCTTAGAGTTCCAGGGACATAACAAAAACATTCTGAAGGTTTTGTCTGTTCAGGGCAAGGAAAGAGTCAGGAAAAGTGGATTCTGCTTCTGGCCACAAGATCTATTATACAACCATTGCAGGATTGGCTCAGCACTTACTTCATCTTCATAATCTTTCCAGGCAAAGTCAGAAGCCCAGGAAAGGGTCTACTAGCTCCAACATTGCTCAAATAATGCCTCTTCCTCTGAATTTTTAACCAACCAGATACCTTTACTTACACTATTGCAACGATACATGTACTAGGAGGATTATTGCTAATTGTTAAAGGAGAAAAAAAAATTATCTCCACCCTTTATTTTCTTTACCAACAAATACTAAGAGATTGTTGGAGTGGTTGAATCAGAGGTGACATTCAGCAGGTTCTGACCAGTTCTGGAGAACCTGTAGCAGAAATTTTGAGTAGTTTGGAGGACCGGCAAATACCACCTCTGACTTGGAGATTTTACAGTATCCTTCCCCTGCCATGCCCACCAAGCCACGCCCATCAAAGCATGCCATGCCCATCAAGCCACGCCCACAGACCCAGTAGTAAAAAAAAACTTTGAATCCCACCACTGGGTTGAATCTCTACATGAAAGCGTGGCTCTGCCTTTTTCCTTTTCTTCTCTCAAAAACAGTTTCTTGGACTACCTCTGCTGTCTCCGAGAAGCTTGTAGATGACACTTTCAGAGCAAGAGTCAAGAGGACATCCACTCTACCAGATGACATTGAGGATGAGAAGAAACCGGGTAGAAAATCGTACTGTTTTTGTGGGTACAAAATGAAGGGATTAAGCAAGCAGAAATATCTCAGCGGCATGGAGAAGAAGAACGGAAGGCTGACACTCACCCCTTGTTCTGATTCCAGCAGCTCCGTTTTGACTCTGACTGCAGGCATCCCATCAAGCATTAACATTCTGTTCTCCAATGTGTTAATAGCCTTGAAGAGGAGAAGAAGAAAAGTACCAATAAGCCCAGGAGAAAGAAAACAATGGAACATCCTGGTTTGTAAAAGAAAAAAAAAATGGAAGGATTTGTCTGTCGTTCAGGTCTACCTACAAGAACTTCCCTGCCAAGTATTTTCTAACACTTTCGCATCAGCTCTGGGCCCAACCGATTTCAGAATGTTGCCTGTTTCAACGGATGAATTTCAGTTTATTCCTGGCTCTCTTCTTTATAAGAAGCAGGAATAAAGTCAGTATTGACCTTGGTCTTGCAAAAAAGCAGGAGTCCATAGCTGCTGTAAACATAGTAGTCGCTTTACAAACTCCAAGTCCCTTTGAGACAGTTTTTGTTTTTACTTCGGGTAAACATCTGAACCAGTCTCTACAGTTTTCTTGGCAAGGTTTTTCAGAAGTGGTTTGCCATTGAGAGAGAGAGAGAGAGGGAGAGGGGGAGGGGGAGAGGGGGGGAGAGGGGGGGAGGGAGGGAGGCAGGGACAGAGAGAGAGAGAGAGAGAGAGAGAGACTAGCCCAAAGCCAACTCGATGTCTTCAATCCCACACTGGGACTAGAACTCACAGCCTTCCAGATCTAGCCTAGTCACTTGATCACAACACCAAACTAGCTCTCCTCAGCCTTTTGGTTGGTCCATTCCCCCCCCCGGTAGGACTTCTTGTCTCTGTTCTGACCCAAGCCTCGTTCAAATCAAATAAACACCAAGTATATATAAAAGCAAACCTTTTTAATGTGTCTCTGTGAATTCTGTTCATTCACAGCAAAGAGTCATTAAAACTGATTGTCCCAGATAAGAGCAAGCCCTTTCAAGGTTACGAGAAACTGCAGAGAAATATTCCAAACCAAAAAAATCTCCAAACATGAACAGCATCAGTGCCAAACTCATTCCTTGACAAGAAGATTCAGATTCCATTTCCCAAGTCTTTCTGCTTCACCTTCCCCTCTCCCAGGATTGCAGCTCTGGGCAGGCACAATCAGGAACAGCAGAAAGGATTCCTTTCTCTTATCCTTGAACATGTCTATTTTTCCTTCCATAATCCTGACAGGAGGTTAAGCCTTGGGGATCCTTTAGTCCTTCTTCAGGCTGGCTCTCCCTTGCAAAACGTCCTGTCAACATCACCTGGCTCTCTCAGGGATCAGATTTGGGCTTTGTCTTTGTCTACGTTCTTCCACAAATACCACGCATATTGAAAAAAAAATGAGATTTGCAGCAATGGAGAGGGCTTGGGGAAGACTACAAGCAAGGTGGGATTCAAAAATCCCAGCAATTGGTTCGCTGCCCGGTTGCTGGGTCGGCGTGCCCATGGTGGACATGGCCTACCGGAAGTCCGGGGGAGGGCATTTTTCACCTTTTCCAGGGTCCGGAGGCTTCCCTCAGGCCTCTGGGAGAGTGAAAACAGCCTTTCCCAGGCTCCAGAAGGCCTCCGGAAGCCAAAAACAGGCCCATTTCTGGATTTCCAGAACTTTTGGTTTGGCCGTTTTTCGCCTTTCCCAGGATCTGGAGTTTTCCTTCAGGCCTCTGGGAGGGCAAAAACGGCCTCTTCCAGGGTCCAGAGGCCCTTCGGAAGCCGAAAACGGGCCCATTTCCATACTTCCAGAACTCCCGGTTCAGCCATTTTTCACCTTCTCCAGAGTCCAGAGGTTTCCCTCAGGCCTCTGGGAAGGCAAAAACAGCCTCCCCTGGGCTCCGGAGGCCTTCTGGAAGCCAGAAACAGGCCCATTTCTGGAACTTCTGGTTTGGCCCATTTTTCACCCTCCCAGAGTCTCCGTGTGGACCCTTGCCCTTACCTGCATCCAAAACAGGCCTCATGGAGACTCCTGGGAGGGGAGGGACGGGCCAGCCAGTCGATTCAACGACCAGTTCAGAGAACCAGATGTAAATTTAACATCTGGTTCACCCAAACCAGTCCGAACCGGTAAAATCTCACTCCTGACTACAAGCCATGCAGTCTAATGGTGATACTTCAGAGAGCAACCACGATAAGGCTCGGCACTCTTCCTTTGGTCACTGGGAGTCTGTATGGCTTGTAGTCTTCCCCGAGCCTTCTCCAGGCTGTGGGTTCAGCAAAGTTAGGACAATCAGAGCTGTTTCACACTGATTGCTAGATGGACACCCAGAATATGTTCCTGGAAGATAGACATGAGCACCTTCCAAGTATAAATGTATAATTTCTTGTTTCAGAATTGTGTGTTCAGGTGGTCCTCGACTCATGATCACAATTGAGCCTAAAATTTCTGTTGCTAGGTGAGACTGTTGTTAAGTGAGCATGATCCCGTTTTACGACTTTTCTTGCCAACATTAAGTGAATTGCTGCAGTTGTTAAGTTATGAATACGGTTGTTCAGTGAACCTGGTTTCCCCGTTGACTTTTCTAGTCAGGATGTCTTAAAAAGAGATCCTGCAATCTCGGGACACTGCTATAGTCATAAATACGAGTCAGTTGCCAAGCATCAGAATTTTGATCCACATGGGGATGCTGCAATCATCATAAGTGTGAAAAAATGGTCATAAGTCATTTTTGGGGGATAACTTTGAACAGTCACTAAACAAACTTGTAAGTTGAGGCTACCGGTAATTCAGATCTATGCAACCTTCATAATGGAGAAATGCTTCAGGCACAGAATTTGGGTTTGATTTTTTACTATAGCTTAAATTTTATGAGCTGGGGGAAAAAAGGAAGTTCCTGGCCCCCATTTTTTCTGACCAAATAGGACCACCAAATAAGCTGTTCTGCTTGCTGGGTCAGAAAAGACACAGAAATCATTTTTCAGTGTGTTGAAGAGGCAGAGCTTCCGAAACTGAGCTCCATGATGCAGATTATGTTTAATGAGAAGAAGGACTAGGGGTGACATGTTCCAATATCTCAGGGGCTGCCCCAAAGAAGAGGGAGTCAAGCTATTCTCCAAAGCACCTGAAGGGCAGGGCAAGAAGCAATGGATGGAAAGTAATCAAGGAGAGAAGAAACTTAGAACTAAGGAGAAATTTCCTGACAGTGATAACAAATAATCAGTGGAACAACTTGCCTCCAGAAGTTGTAAACGCTCCAACATTGAAAGTTTTTAAGAAGAGATTGGACAAACGTTTGTCTGAAGTGGTGCAGGGTTTCCTGCCTAGGCAGGGGGTTGGACTAGAAGATCTCTAAGGTCCCTTTCAACTCCTGTTCTGCTCTGCTCTGCTCTCTTCTCTTCTATTCGACGACTTGATTCTACTTATTCTATTCTATTCTACCCTAACCTACCCTATAAATATTACTAATTACCCTGGGTGTAAAACTCCGCTCTTCTTGATGCAGAATTTGGGCTGGTTGATTGCAAATTGGAATCCCATTCAAGTCCGGGGGATAACATGAAATCCCATATATTAAAAAGAAAAGGCTGCCGTTTCTTGGGAGAAGCCGAAAGCCCCTTAAAAGAAAGATTCACAAGAGAGGGAGTGGCTCCCTTTCCTTCCCTGAATTCCTCCCTTCCCTTTCTGAGCCCTAGGAGCAGGAGGCCTTTCTAGTAACCAGGCGTGCTCAAAAGAATAAAAGAGGCGGAGGGAAATGGATGCCGGGCCAGGCGCTTTCCAGGAGGGTGTAGGCTGACCAGGCCTGCCTTCCATATTCATGGGTGTCACCCACAGCAGCGGTTTGTTTGGCCCTCCGCCTAGGGTGGAGCACGAAGCACTGCCAGCCAGCCTCTCCTATCAGTTTCCTTCCCTCTTTCTGCCTGGCCTAGCTAGGCCTCCTGTTCCACCCACGACCCCCAAGAAGGCCAGCTACTGCATGGCTTGCAACGGCCAATGGGGTCATAAATCTCCTTGAGGTGAGGCTGCCCGGATGAAGGATCTCGCCTGGGGGTCCTTCTGCACAGGGGAAAGGGGGAGCGGCTGCCGGATGGATTGGGGAGGGGGCTGCGCTGCCTGCCTGGAAGGCTGTGCTCTGCTGGGAGGGTCTCCAGCTGTGACAAGCGCCCGGGGCTACAAGCAGGGAAGAAAGACAAGCCGGAGCTGGATCTATCCCAAACAGGGCCTGCCTCCGAGACAAAGGACAATGCTCAGACTGGCAGGTTTAATGAACTGTTGGAATCTGATTAGAGGCTAATGCCCCGTTCCTGCTTTGCACCGATATACAGCTGATACTTTAACCATCTCTCTCCCGCCACCTCACCCTGAACTTGTTATTCAACAGAAGGAGAAGCTGTGTAGGCAAATGGCAACCTTTTTTTTCCCAGAGCTATAAATCAGCAGATCCCAAGGAGGTCATGCGTCATTTAGCACATCGACACCTTCTTGCTATTTGGGTCAATTCTGCCATTGCCCCTCTCTCTTTCCTGAGAGTCCCAAAGCTGATTTCCCCAGGAGAGGACCCTCTGTTTCACTCTGAGAACAAAAGAACAGGAGGCAGGGAAGAAGGCTATGGAAGTGGGCAGAAACGTATTCAAGGCCTTTTGTGTGGTTCACGGACCGCGAGAGGGATCTTGGCGTCCTAGTGGATAATCACTTAAATATGAGCCAGTAAAGTGCTGGAGCTGACAAAAAAGCCAATGCAATCCTGGGAAAGGTGGATTAATGGACAGAATCAAGACCATAAGAAGTGATATTACCACTTTATAAGGCCTTTATAGAGCGATGTGGTGGCTCAGTGGCTAAGACTCTGAGCTTGTCAATCAGAAAGGTTGGCAGTTCGGTGGTTTGAATCCCTAGTGCCGCGTTACTTGTCCCAGCTTCTGCCAACGTAGCAGCTCAAAAGTGTGTACAAAATGCAAGTAGAAAAATAGGGACCACTTTGGTGGGAAGGTAACAGTGTTCCATGCACCTTCAGCATTTAGTCATGCGGGTCACATTACCACGCCGTCTTCGGACAGCGCTGGCTCTTCAGCTTTGTAACGGAGATAAGTACCTCCCCCTAGAGCCGGAAACAACTAGCACATATGTGTGAGGGGAACCTTTACCTTTTTAAAGCCTTTATAAGATCACACCTGGAATATTTCCAATCTAAAAAAGA